GGCAGGGACGGCGAGGGTCTTGGCACTTTCCTTGCTGCCTGCTGGGAGGGCAGGTAGTAGAAGGATGTCCTGGGGCCGGGACTGGGGCCTCCAGAGGGTGTGCTGGGACCTTCTTCTCAGGACAGCTGGCAGGACTGGGCAGCTCCGGTGTCTGGGGAGGTCCTGGGTCCCGGGCTCGGGACATCCTGTGTCGTTCACAGTAGCCATCCTGACTGACCTGGTTCGCTCAGGGCACTGAAAGGCATGTGCTAGATGGGTCCCACCTCACAAATGAGGAAACTGAGGCTCAGAGAAAGCAAGTCACCTGTCCAGGGTCACACACAGGTCAAGGGTGGAACCAAGGTCAAACCAAGGTCTGATTCGGAAGCCTGAGTCTTTCTTTTTTAATTCTCTAAACTTTAAAAAATTGAGCTCCTTTCTCACGTGACAGAATTCCTGCGCGCTCAGGGCATCCAGCGAAGCAGTGAGCACAGGGATCAGTCACGGTCAGCCTCAGAGACCCTCCCCGCCGGCGCCCCCGAAGCAGTCTCTGCAGGGGGGCCTGCGAGGTGCACCCCACGGCTGTCCATCCTCGGGAGCCCTGAGGTCCCACCTGAGCCCCCGACCATGCTGGGCACCGCCAGGCGCCAGCCTGCAGTGGGAATCCCGATGACAGGCTCAGTGACGCTGAGACGTGTCCCTCCACCCTGGTCCAGACAAAAAGAAAGCTTGAGGACCGCAGGTCCCCTGAGAGCTGTCGGATGGCGGGCAGGACCTGGGGCAGCCCACCCGCCCTCTCTCCCCGTCCCGGTGCCGAGCGCAGAGGTGGCGACTGAGGACTTGGGGTTCTGGCCACCCCACTTGCTCACTGTGTGACCTTGCTTGACATGAACTTAGCACCTACTGTGTGCCACGCATGGTGGCGAGCAGCACAGATTTGGGATGAACGAGAAGACAGGGTCCCTGGCTCAAGGGCCCACACAGGGCACTGGCCTGTCATTGCACAAGTTGCGCAAGTCACTGTCAAGGTGTCTCTGAGGCCCAGCCGGGCACAGGGTGCTGCGAGTGTGTGTACTGGGGCGCAGCCCCGCGTGGGTGTCAGAGGGGCTCTCAGGGATGCACGGAAGCTGGGGACAGAAAGATAGCAGGAGCCAGCGGGCCGGAGGGGGGCGGGTGGGCCATGTGGAAGTCTATGTGAAAACCCTCAGCCAGGCCGGGGACTCAACCTTCATACACCTCACCTTCTCCACCTGTAAAGTGGGCAGAATTGTCCACCTCCTAGGCTTGTTGGGGTGACTGGCAAAATCATTCCTGGAGAGCACAGAGCACAGAGCCCAGCGCCCAGCTCTCAGTGGGGCTTCCCAGTGACGGCCGCTGGACCACCAGAAAGGCAGGCACTTGCGGCAAATCCCCTGAGCTCCTGGGGGTCGCCGAGACCGTCCAGTTCTCAGCCTACACGGTTCTGCCCCCAGGTTGCAGAGAGGGCAGGAGCCCAGGGGTCTGGCTGCTTGTTCCTGAGCTCCTAGAACAAGAACCTCCAGAGACGCTGGCTGCGGGCATGGTTAGCAATCCACCGATGGCGTCCACCCCTCTGTGTATGGAGAGCGGCCCAGAGGGGGCGGGAGACTGGCCCAAGGTCACACAGCAAGTGAGCAGCAGAAACAGGGATCAGACCCAGGGCTCTGCCTCCCAGGCTCCCACCTCACCCGCTCCTCCCGCAAGCCAGGCTGCGCCCCCGCGAAGGCACGGTGTAGAGGCTGCTACCCAAACATTACGTAAGCCTGCTCATCGCCAGGGGGGAGGAGGAAACCTGCCTCAACTGGAGCAGAGGGAGAGGGGAGGTCTGAGCCTTCTCAGGCACCCCAGCCGCCCCCAGGCCTCTAATTCACCCTGCAAATCAGTCATCAGAGCTCTGAGGCCAGGGTGTCGTGCCACTGTCGAATCCAGAGGTGCAGCCCATCTGCCACTGGCTGGCTGAGTTGGGACACCCAAAACCAGCTGCACACTCCCTCCCCACGGCGGGCACCCGCGTGAGCTGCAGGTTTGGGACAAAGATCATGCCCAGGAATTTCATCCCCAGGACGACTGAGAGCCGTGACTCCAGCCCCCACCCCTGGGCCAGGGTCAGGTTCCGACAGGCCTGGGCCTCCTCCCTCTCCTCCCTCAGACTCGCTGCCGCCAGGGGACCTGCTCCAGTCCCAGGACAGGCCTGTGCTCCAGTCCTAGCCCTAACCTGTCGCTGTGGGAGGGACCGTGAGCAAAGCCCTTCCCCATAATGCCCCTCGGCTTCCCTGAGGGTAAAATAAGTGGTTCTGAGTAGATCATGTTTTCCCTACCCTGGCACTCTTGTCATTGTCACGAGGGCCTGTACTGCGCGTCGTAGGATATCTTGCAGTATCCCTGGCCTCTCTCCGATAGGTGTCAGTAGCATCCGCTCCCGAGTTATGACAGCCCGAGTGTCTCCAGATGTTGCAGTGTGTGCTCATTCACCAGACAGACACGTCCTGGCCCGTGCCGTGCGCCAGGCCACGGGCAGGCCAGCGGGCACAGCGGTGTTAGGAAGCTTGCATTCAAGTGTGATCTGGTTTTGTGGCCCGTGCCGTGCTGGGACGGACAGGCAGGGCAGCCCCAGACCTGGGGCCTGGGCGAGTGCCCGAAGGAAGCGGCATGGAGGCTGGGACCCGGCGGGGTGGGCGGGGAGTGGACCAGCCCCTGTTAGAGAAAACGTTGTTCCGACACCTGTTAAAGTGGAAAGGAAGACTTTGTTCAGGACAGCTGCAGCGTGTCAGGGCTCTTACAGCAGGGGAGGGGGACTGGGCTGAGCTGCCAGACAGCGGGACGGGTGGAGGCCGGCAGCCGACGGGCAGAGTGAGGGGCTGTCGGGTGGAAAACGACTAAGAGGAGACGTCCAGGGAGGTAGAATTTGCTAAACTGATCTTGAGGCCACTTGCCGGAGGCAAGACAGGGACTCACATCAAGGGGGTGAGGGACTCGATCAGATGGGAGGGCCGGGGCCCTGGCCAGGCTGACCAGGTTCCTGCCACCGTGGGGCAAGGCACGCCGGAGACTGGGGGCAGGTCCAGAGGGCCCTGACTCGAGTCTGGGTGTGGAGTGTGGGGGGCTGGCAAGAGAAAACTGGGGCATCAGCTGAGCACCCCCATAGGCACTGCCTTGGGGGGGGCCTTGCCAGGGACCCCATGGTGGCCACCTCTGCAGAGGCGACTGGGCAGGCCCCCTGAGGGCTCCCCCCAAGGCCGCCTCCCCTCCGCGCAGACCCTGCTGCCAGCCCCCCACAGCGCTCCCAGCGCTGATGCTGTGCGCAGGCCTTCCCTCGCGAGCGCCATCTTCTGGTGAACCATCTGGAGGCACCGCCAAGGAGACGCCTTCGGGTGGCTTGTGTCTCGTCTTTATCACCTTTAGTAACCTTTCAGAATCACGTAAGTGGCACAAACCCATTGTGGAGAAGTTAGAAGGTCTGCACAGAGGAAGTAACCCACCACCCCAGCATCCAGAGAGGCCTGGTGACAGCCCCTGTGTCCCCACATGGATCATTAGGTCCTGGAGCCAGGCATGTCCCCCTTCCTCACCCAGAGAGCCATCCAGGCCTAGGGGCCTGGGGTCATCGGCCACATCTCGTCCCCAAAACATGAAGGAAGCAGGGAGAAGGCAGCCTTCAGGGAAGGGAGCTCAAGGGGGCTGCCAGTCCTGTTCCCTGGCCTCCCGCTGTGGTAGGCAACTTCCTCAGAGGAGGATGCGCCCCACTCCGTGCGGGGCGGACTAAGCTACACGCAGCCGACTTGTGAATTGGTCTAGCACAGCTTTCGCTTGTTTGTTTGTTTGTTTATTTTTAGAGACAGTCTCACTCTGTCACCCAAGCTGCAGTGCAGTGGCCCAATCATAGCTCACAGCAACCTCAAACTCCTGGGCTCAAGCCATCCTCCTGCCTCAGCCTCCTGAGTAGCTGGGACTATAGGCGTGGGCCACCACACCCAGCTAATTATTTTAATTTTTTTAGAGATGAGGTCTTGCTATGTTGCCCAATCTGGTCTCAAACATCTTCCTGCCTTGACCTCCCAAAGTGCTGGGATTATAGGCATGAGCCACCATGCCCAGCCTAGCACAGCACAAATTTAAGTTCACAGTTCTAAAAATCACACTACTGACTACTTCTTGTGTCCAGCCCTGTGGTTAAATGCTCCATCTCACCGGATCCCAACAATATGGGTGTGATAACTATCCCTTTTCAGAGATCAGGAAATTGAGACTCAGAGAGGTGAGGGCATTTGCCTGAGATTGCACAGCTAGTGAATGGCAGAGGTTTGGACCACAGAGCCATGCCACCATCGACTGCCTGGGTATCTGGAGGGTCCTGTGCTAGGCGCTGGGTGCAGGGTGGACAAGTCCAGTTGGAACAAGCCGGGGTCCCTCTGAGATCCCTGTGCTGCTTCCGTGTCTGTTTACCCAGTTCCCTGAGAACAGAGGCTGGGGTGGGGCGGTGGGTGTGCATACGGGGGAGGGGGGAGGGTGTGCAGCGTGTGGGAGGAGCCACCTGCTGGCGCCATATGGTGGTTCTACCCACCAGCACCACCAGCCGCCCGCCCAGCTTGGTGGTGCCAGGAGAGGCTCAGTGCAGAAGGTGGGGGAGGCAGGAGGCCTTGGGTGAGAGCTCGGCTTCAGGGAGGTGATTTGTGTGACCGTCGTTTTAGCCCCTGGTGTGGATCAGGGGGCTGGGTGGCCAAGTGCTCTGTGTGTGGTATCTGGACTAATTCCTACATCAGCTCTTATCCTCCATATGCAGATGAGGCTCAGAGAGGGGAAGTCACTTGTCCAAGGTCACACAGCTAGTGAGAGGCAGAGGCGTTGAGTTGAGCCTGTGCCTATGATGTCCAGGTCCTTGCCCATGACCCCATGTGGCACCTTCTCTTTGAACAGCGATTCGCAGCTTTTCTGGACCCTGGGCAGGAGCACCTGGTGGGCGGGTGATGTCAGCAACCCTGTCTTGCTTGCTCTGCTGCCTCCAGGTACAAGGGCTTCATCAAAGACTGCCCCAGTGGGCAGCTGGATGCGGCGGGCTTCCAGAAGATCTACAAGCAGTTCTTCCCATTCGGAGACCCCACCAAGTTTGCCACGTTTGTTTTCAATGTCTTCGATGAAAACAAGGTGAGTGGGGATCGATGGGGCCTGTGCCGGCCCGGAGTCTCCTTCCTCCTGCAGCGGCCCGCTCGGCTCCCGCGGGTGCCCGCAGCGTCTCCACACCCACTCTCTCCTGCTCGTGTTCCTTTCTCAAGAAGGAATGCACACACATGTGCACACACATGTACACATGCATGGGCATGCACACACAGCAAACACAGATGCATACAAATGCACACACACACATGAACTCGCATGCATGTGCACATACATACATATACCATGCATGCATAGAGATGAACACAAATGCATGTGCATGCACACATGCATGTCCATGCCATGCATACAGTGCACACACATGCATACAGTGCACAAACTTTCACATGCACGCACATGTGCGGAGTGACACATGTGCATACATATGCATATATACACACATGTACGAACATGTACACCCTAATTTTTCTTACGAGCACAAAATGCAAATGCTTCTGGGGATAGTAATAGGATTAATAATCATAACCAACATTTACTATGTGGGGTAGGTATTATTATTACCCCCATTTTGCAGATGAGGAAACTGAGGCTCTGAGAATCACACGACATGGGATCTTTTGTGCCTGGCTCCTTTCACTGAGCATCATGTTTCCAAGACTTATGCGTGTTGTAGCATGTGTCTACTCCTGGCGATGGCCACGCTGACAGCTGGCATGCCCGCTGTTGGGGTATCCACGGCCTTCCAGACCCTGTCCTGCAGCGGCATCCCCCCCCCCCCCCCCGCCAGCACTAATGAGTGCGTTTACTGTGACTTGTTTCCATGCTCCTGCTGTTGGCACTAGGGTGGTTTCCATTCTGTCACTCCCCAGCTCTCTCCCAGGTGCCCCAAGGCTGGGAGTCAGACTCCCTGACCCTGGGAAGGGCTCTGCCCTCTCTGGGCCTCAGTTTCCCCATTCGCAACACAAGTAGGTAGGATCAAACAATTCGTAGAGCCCTTTCCGCTTCAAAAGCCCCTGAGCCTAGAGTTCTAGACTGAGGGAGTTTCTGGGCAGCTCCTGCTAAGAGAGGGGCGTTTGTTGGTGCTTCTGGCTCTTTCTCCAGGCAGAAGTGGAGTCAGTCTCTCCGTCAGCCTCAGCCCTTCTGCCCGTACCTCCTGCCCGGCCGGTCCCTTTTCTATCCCCCCCTTAAGGTCTGGCCTGACCAGGTGGCCCAGTGCTGACTGAGGCCATCCCCGCTCTCTCCTGTCAGGACGGGCGGATCGAGTTCTCTGAGTTCATCCAGGCGCTGTCGGTGACCTCGCGGGGAACCCTGGACGAGAAGCTGCGGTGTGAGTCCTGACCCCCTTGACCTTTTGGGGCAGCCCCTGGTGGTCCCAGGCCAGAGGGAAACAGCCTGTGGCCCTCAGTGGCGGTGGCGCTAGAAACGCAGGTAGTGCCTGCAGATGACATCCCGCTCCATCTGCAGAGGCCAGAGTGGTGAGCCCTGGGCAGGTGGGGCACATATGGCCAAGTAACCAGGCCAGGCCATCTGTCCGGGGCTGAGAGTGGCGCAGACATCTGCCCTTCCAGGTCAGAGGAGGTTGCCTGGAGGTGGCCGTGCAGCGGGAACGAGGCTTAGGCCGGGTGGACAGGGAGGGCCAGGAGGCCGGCGGGGGCCGTGGTCATGTCCCTGCAGGTGCAGATCTGGGCAGTGGGCAGCGTGGGGCAGAACCAGAGACCCAGGGCCAGTGCCAGACCCCCCTCTTCAGAGGCCACTGCTTTGATGACTGACCTCACTTGTTCGTTTACTCACATGTTCACTCAATAAATACTGACTGAAGGCAGCGACTTGTCAGAACCAGGCTGGAGGCTGGGGCTGGGGGGTGGGACAGACAGGTACCTGCTTCCTGGGCTGTCAGTCTAGATGGGCGGCAGGATTCAAACAGCCGTAACACTGCATCCCAGCTGCGGGGGAGGAGCTGGCCTGCGTAGGGAGGGGAGCCCTGTGTGCAGAGCCCTGGGGGGAGGCCGAGAGGGAGACAGGAGGTGGCGCTGCAGGCCCCTGGCGGCTCTTAGCTGGAACTCGGGGTGCGAACTCGGGGTGCGTGGAGGGGGATCTGAGGGGAGGAGATGAAAACGGTCTGGCCAGAACTCCCTGCTCGCTCAGACTCCTGCACTTCATTCCGTGGGCCATGAGAAAACCCTGCAGTTTCTTTTTCTTTTTTTAGAAATAAAAGAGAATTTTATTTATGTAAATCTCCCCCTCCAAACGCATTCCTTTATTTTCTGACATCGACCGTGGCAGGCTCCATCACCACTGTGGGAGGCGAGGGGGCAGCGTTGGGACTCCTCTCTGGGCCACGTCCCAGGTGCCACGTGCCCCTCACTCTGCTCCAGCTGCTGAGGCCCCAGCCCTGGCAGACCTCATGGCCCTGCTTTATTTTTATTTTATTTTAATCCTAGTTGCCATGATGTGTGTGTGCGCGTGTGTTTGTCTGTGTCTATCCCGGTATATTCGTTGACCTTGATGAGTACCGGGGTGACCTGATCCCCGACTTCCCGGTGAGGTGAAGAGCCCCCCGCCTGGGCTGGGGTCGCTCAGCCCTGTCTGGTTGCTCCCAGGGGCCTTCAAGCTCTATGACTTGGACAACGACGGCTACATCACCAGGAGCGAGATGCTGGACATCGTGGACGCCATCTACCAGATGGTGGTGAGAGGCGGCTCCCGTGCGGCAGGGAGGGCAGGAGGGCGTCCGGGTCAGCCAGCGGGCCTGGCGGGCGGGGCGCCCCTGCAGCTGCTCCCTGCCCAGTGTCAGAGTGGGGGCCGCTGGCTGGGTCACTCCGTCTGTCTCTGCCTGGGCAGGCTGCTGGGTGGTGGGGCTGGGAGGGTGCTCCAGAGCGGAATGGCCGAGACGGGAGTGGGAGGCGGAGGGGGCCTCCGTCTGGAACCGGCCAGGCCTCGGGGCAAATGTTTGGCCAAGAGCTCAAAGCCCAGAGTGCCAGGGCCCAGCCCCCACCTCATCTGTTCCTGGCAGGGGAATACCGTGGAGCTCCCCGAGGAGGAGAACACTCCCGAGAAGAGAGTGGACCGGATCTTTGCCATGATGGACAAGGTGAGGCCGGGCGGGGGCTGGCCCTTGACCGGGGAGGCAAGGTGTGGGGGGCAGGAGGGGGAGCCCTGGAGCCTGGGCCTGGCCTTGCCGCTGGCCACCAAGGCAGGCAGCGTGGCCTGGTGCCCTGTCCACAGTCGGCAGCCATCCTCATCAAACATCCAGAGTTTTAAGTGAGTTTGCCCAACTTATTTTCCTTAATCGGCCAAGGTCCTTAACCTTTTTGTTTGTTTGTTTGCCACGGATCCCTTTGGCATTCTAGAGAAGTGTATGGGCTTCTCAGAATAATGGCTTTAAGTACATAAAATAAAATCCATAAGATCAAAAAGGAAGCCAGTTATTTTGGAATATAGCTATGAAAGTATTTCTTAAAAAAGAGTTTGTAATACGGTATCGCATGAGCCTCTCTACTAACACATAAAGGTGTCCGGGTGAGTCGAATAAGCCCCATGATTTTGAAGCTGCGACATCTGCAGCAGCTGTGATGTGCTATGAAAACACCCGTGATCCCCACTGTCGACACTGTCACGGGGACAGCTGGTTCTGCTGGGGACGGTCACCTAGGCCCATATTAAGGGAAAGCTGCATTTCCCTTAGAGTTAGTGGAAAGACTGAGGTCTCCCCCAGGTTCGCAGACCTGGACTCCATCCACAGACCCCAGGTTAGGAAGCCTTTCTTTAAGTCAAACTTTCTTTATTTGTGTAAGTTTTGTTACACAGATATATTGTGCAGTAGTGACGTCTGGGCCTTTAGTGTCCGCGTTACCTGAATAATGAACATTGTCCCCCAAACTCATTTTAAACTAGAATAACTTTGTTTTCAATGGAAATTTGAAACCACAGTGGTAAGGAAATCGGTATTGCTCGCTTTCGGTACGAGAACACAAATCACTGCGACACGGGCTTCTCGTTACATCCCGGCTGGACATACTGCTTGCCCTAGAAGCTTCGAGCCTGAGGCCTGTACTTCCTTGATTAAAAAGGGGGATTAGCGCATGGTAGAAGGGCGCTAAAGATGTGCTGGCCTCTTGGTAATAATCAGATTTATCCACAGAGAGTGGAACGAGGAATAGCAAGTGTCTTACTGCGTGAGTCAGTGCTACTTACCGCCAACGCCACGCACTCCCTAAACCCCCCATTCGCTCCTCCCTTATTTTGGGAAACAGCGCAGGCCCTGGAGTCTGACGTCGCTGGTACCAGCCATGGGACCATGGGGAGGTGACTGAGCCTCAGTTTCCTTACCAGTAAGGTGGGGACAAGGGCAGCACCCTCTTCTCAGGGGGGCTGTGAGGATCCCATGAGAACAAGCTTGTACTATGCTCGAAAGTGCTGGATTCGCATTGATTATCCCCCAAGCTCGGCCACATGGCGCCTGCCAGGACCACTGCTGCCGCCGGCCGCCCTCTCTGCGTAGCCGAGGTCGAGCAGGTGCTCTCCACGGCCTTTTTCCTCTGGCCTCACAGGTTTCCTCCAGAGATGCTCCAGGGGAGGGGATTCCATCCTGACCAGCCCCTCCCCAACAGACCGGCTGAAGTTCCTCTGGGCTCTGCATGGGCCCCCCTACCGTGGCCTCCCGGGGCCCCGTGTGGGCTGCCCCAGGCGTGGTTTAAATGGCCCCAAGAGTGACCCCACCACCATTCATGGGAATTAGTAGCAGGGACAATGATAAGTACAGAGTTATGGGGCGTTTGGTTTGCCAACCATGGAGCTCTCGCCGCAGTGCCCTGAGGAAGCCACACATTTATCCTCAGTCCTCAGACGGGAGACAGAGGCCCAGAGAGGTGGGCCACAGACCCAGGGTCGCCCAGCCTGTGAGCGCCCAGGTCTGTCTGGGGCCACTCTGCTTACCCAATGTGCTGTGCCGCCTCCCTCCTGACCTGACGTGGGAGGTTCTCCTGGGACCAGCCCTGGGCAGGCCTTGCCCAGAGCCACGCTCCTAGGAGGCAGGCGGGCTCCACCTTCAGCGGCCTCTCCCTGCTTGCAGAACGCCGATGGGAAGCTGACGCTGCAGGAGTTCCAGGAAGGGTCCAAGGCAGACCCCTCCATTGTGCAGGCGCTGTCCCTCTACGACGGGCTGGTATAGTCCAGGGCCCAGCGCTGCGGTGAGTGGGGCACCCAGGGCCTGGGGCGGGGGCAGGGGTGAAAACCCAGCCACAGGACGCCCAGGGCTGGCGGGTAGGTGCCTGGGTTTCCAGGGGTACTTGGGGTCTGCAGGGACACGACTGGGAGGGGGATCCGGGGGGCAACTCAGCCAGAGCCACTGTTTTTCTCTCTATTTTTGTTTTTTTTTTTTAGTAGAGACAAGATCTCACTCTTGCTCAGGCTGGTGTTGAACTCCTGAGCTCAAACGATCCACCACCTCGGCCTCCGAGAGTGCTGGGATTACAGGCCTGAGCCACCACGCCCGGCCTGTTTTTATCATTATTATATACCTGAATTCAGCCTGTGAGTTTGCTTGAGTGGAAGTTTGCTTGCATTGAAGATACTCTGAAAGTCAGGACTCAGCAAGGGCCAGGGTCTCATCCCCTCTCAAAGATCTCAGCTCCTGGCTTTCTTGTGCAATTGCTCAAACATGTGCGTGTTCTTCTTTTTATCCAGTTGGATTTGTTGTGAGTGTGGGATGAGCACGTGCCCCAGCAGAGTACTGGTAGACAACAGCCTTCCTTTTTTCTTTCTCACCTTCTCTTACCTCCTTTCCCGCCTCTTCTCTGCTGTGCCCTGCACGTTGGCTGATGGGATCGGGAGCGAACGGCCCCCCAGGTCCTGTCCAGCTGTAAACACTCTCGTACGTGTCTTTCAGTGAACAGATGTGTACATCCCATTGGTATATATCTAAGGGTAGAAATTGCTGGGACGTAGGATATGTTCACTATTTGGCTTTAACAGATATTACCCAACAGCTTTCCAAAGTGGTTGTACTGTTTTACTCTCCCACTAGTAGTATGTGAGAGTTCCAGTTGCTCCACATCCTTGTCAACGTTGGGTATTTTCTATCTTTTACATTTTAGCCATTTTGGTGGGTATGTAATGATTTGTTACTTGTAATTTTAATTTGCATTTCTCTGATGAGCACTGCAGTTGAGCACCTTGTCATATGTGTATCATCCATCTTAATACGCTCTTTTGTGTAGTTTTGTATTAGTTACCCATTGCTACATATTACATTACCACAAACTAGCAGCTTAAAAGAACAAACATCAGGAATTTGGGCACAGCTGAGCCGGGTGTTTCCGGCTCAAGGACTCTCATGAGTGCGCAGTCCAGCCGTCAATGGAGTGACTCATTTGCCCAGGTTTGTCATGGGGTTAGCACTGCAAGTCCCATGTCCTGGGAAACCCATTAGTCCCCGGCCAATTGGGATAATCATCAGCTGTTGGTCAGGGCTGTAGCCTCATCTGAAGACTCGGCTGGGAGTGACCTACTTCCAGGCTCACTCTTGTGGTCAGGCAGCCTCGATCCCTAGCCATGTGGCATCTGCACAGGCTGCCCCGTGACACGGCTGCTGGCTTCCCTCAGGGTGGGCTTTCCAAGAGCGAGGGACAAAGCGAGCCCAAGGGGAAAGCCACAGTCTTCTTATAACCTAATCTTAGAAGTGATACCCCATCCCTGTTTCAGGAATACCTTGACTACTCTAGGCATTTCTATATACATTTTAGAATCAACTTATAAATTTCTACACACACACACACACACATACACACACACAGGCTGAGATTTTGATTGTACTGAGTTGCATCTGCAGTTCAATTTGAGGAGAATTGGCATCTTTATAATGCTGAATATTCTAATCCATGAAAATGATATACATCTCTATTTATTTAGGTCTTTAAAATTTTTTCTCTATACCATTTTATTGTTTTCAGCTAAAAAATCTTTCACATCTTTTGAAAGATTTATTCCTAGATATTCGATGCACTATAATAGTAATTTTAAAATTTATTTTCTGTTTGTTTCTGGTTTATAGAAATTCAGTTTTTGTTTATTGACCATATATCCAGGTGCCTGCTAAATTCGTTTATTACATCTGAGAGTCTGCTTTAGATTCTTCTGGATGGTCTACACTTTCTTTCTTCCTTTCTTACCCTCTGCCCTTTGTTTCTTTTTCCTGCCTTGTTGTACCTCATGGGACCACCTGTGCGGTGTTGCATAGGCATGGGGAGAAGTTTCCGATCGTTTACCATTAGTGACGATGTTTGCTGTTGCTCTTCTGTAGACAGACTTTTGTAGACAGGTAGATTTAGGAAGTTTCCATCTTTTGTAGTGTGCTAGTAGGTATTTGTTAGAAACAATCATGGATGGGGTTGAGTTTTATCGAGTGATTTTTCTATCAGGGTGCTTATGTAACTTTCCTCCTTTTTCGTTGTTCATATGAAAAATCACACAGATCGTTTCTGAATGCTAAGCCGCCTCGCCTTCTTAGAAGAAACTCCGCTGAGCCGGGTGTGTTATCCTTTTTATTTATCATCAAATTTGATTTGCTGGTATTTTGTTTAGGAGGCCTACCCCATTTTGAAGCTTCTAATATTATTATTTTACACAAGAAATCCTTTTTCATTGAAGAGACATTAGAAAATGTGTAGAAAGAAAACCTCAATTAAAAAGTTTGTTTTAAAAATCCTCATATGTGACCCAGATATAATCACAGTGAACATGTTAGCGTCCAGAGGGATTTAAAAAGAACTGAGCAATTACACTCTTAATGCTCAGTAACTAAGCCACATGGGAATATATAATTAAAACCAGTTTGTAAAGGAACTCTCGTTATTTCCATCATAGAAATGCTTGGCACGTCCCACGGTGAGCGCTGATCTCTTGTCTGGTTTTTCACAGTCCTCTTTTGCAAATCCCTGTGTCATGTGCTGTCCATGAGAAGCCTCTCCTAGTGACACGGGCCCTCCCGCGACGTGACCCACCTTTCCATAGCTCTGCTGGGAAGTGGCCCTCTTCCTTCTCCGCGGCTTTCCCCGGAGAAGCCTGGTGCGGCGATGACATCTCATTGTGCTCGATCGTGTTTGCGATTCGTTTGCCTCCTCGCGTTCCGGATGTCTTTGCATCCCTAGATAACCTGCTGTTATATAATTTTTTGACTTTTCAGTCAACGAATTATACTGTAATCATGCTTATTTTCCACAATTAAATATTGTTTGAGACCATCATTTTTACTAGCTGCATAGTATTCCATTGTATGGCCGGGCCGTAGTTGAACTAGTCCCATGGTGTTGGACACGTAGGTTGTTGACGATTAGGGGGAGGAATGAAAACCATTCGGTATGGGGCCGGGCGCAGTGGCTCACGCCTGTAATCCCAGCACTCTGGGAGGCCAAGGCGGGCGGATTGTTTGAGCTCAGGAGGTCGAGACCAGCCTGAGCAAGACCGAGACCCTGTCTCTACTAAAAATAGAAAGAAATTAATCAGACAACTAAAACTATATAGAAAAAATTAGCCGGGCATGGTGGCACATGCCTGTAGTCCCAGCTACTCAGGAGGCTGAGGCAGGAGGATCGCTTGAGCCCAGGAGTTTGAGGTTGCTATGAGCTAGGCTGACGCCACGGCACTCACTCTAGCCCGGGCAACAGAGCCAGACTCTGTCTCAAAAAAAAAAAAAAAAAAACCATTCGGTATGGAAACATCCGCGTGGTGGTGGAGAGGAGCGCAATGCGAGGTACCCACCGCTCAGCTGCGTCCCCGGTTCGCGGCCAGCCTCGCGTGATCCACCCCTCCCTCTTGTTCCCCCACACTGGGTTATTCCGAAGCAAATTCGAGATACCGTTTCATACCTGACACATTTCAAAATGTATTTCTAAAACATAAGGATCAATAATTCCTCAATACTCTAAACTGCAAACTATTCTAGTTTCCCATCTCACCATTTTTTTCTTCTTCGTTTCCTGAAATCAGAATCTGAATAAAGTCTACTTATTACGGTTGGTCGATAGGTCTCTTATATTTATTTTACTCTGTATGTTTATGTTCTCCCCTTCCTTTTTTTTTCCTTGCTATTTGTTGCTAAACATTGTTAGTTACCCAGTCAGGGAATTTGCTGATCGCATCCCGCGGTGCTGGTCACACGCGCCTGTGTTCCTCTGCTCAGCCCGTGCACAGCGGCTAGATCTGCTGGCTTGCGTGGGATTGACTTGGGTCCATTTTTTTAAAGTTCTTTAAAAAATTTTTATTTATTTGTTTATTTAGAGACAGTCTTTCCCTCTGTCGACCAGGCTGGAGGGCAGTGGCATCATAGCTCACTGTAACCTTGAATTCCTGAGCTCAAGCGATCCTCCGGCCGTGGCCTCCCAAAGTGCTGGGCTACAGGCGTGCGCCACCGTGCCCGGGCCACTTTGGCCATTTTTGACAAGAACAGTTCATGAGTGGTGTTGTGTGTGTCCACCAGGCAGCACAAACCTCTGGGGACGTCAGCAGCCCTTGCTGGTCATTGCTTAGATTCATTTGCCCATGAGGTGGTGCAAAGTGGTGACGTCCTAATGCTGCCTTTCCTTCTTCACCTGTTAGCTGGGTCCATTCCAGTAACTGGTGAGGGAAACACCCCCTCGTCAGTTATTTGGTTACCTCTAGGCCTGGTTTTTAACAGGAAAGACGAGATAGATGCCTGATTCTTTCTCTTTATTTACCAGTTTTCAAAATGAGTTGGTTTTCTGATATCCTCTAGAGGTGACCAATGACTTTTTTCAAAACTATCATTATGAATTTAGACATATTTGATGAGCTTCCTGTTTGCAGTTTTTGGCCGGGAGACAGTAGGTTGAACATTCTTTCATGTGGGCTCTCGGTCAAAGCTCCTTCAACTGCAAGGGACAAAGACCCCCTTAAGCTGTTGCAAGGAGAGTGGGACAAGTCACAGAGGTTCCTGATCACCTTGGGAGGAGAAGAACACAATGACTAATGGTACTGAGCATTTTTCACGTCCTCACTGGCCATTCCGTGCCCTGTTTTTAGTGGTTATAAACCAGTTTATCCTGCGGGTGTGCCCTAATTTATTTGTCTAATCCCCTGATATTGGACACTTAGGTTGTTCCCCCTCACTTCCATTTTTTTGTTTTGTTTTGGTTTGGTTTTTGCTGTTATAGATGATACTGTGGTGGACATCTTATTTATTTATTAAGGGTAAGTACCAAGAACCCCGTGGGCGGGTCGGGGGTTGTGAACGTGTTCAGGCTTTCCGATGGAGAATGCCACCCTGCCTCCAGCCGACCTCTGCCCGCACTGGGCGCTCGTCCCTGGCAGCCAGCTCCTAACCTGCCTCACCCCTTGTATCTTCCAGATGCCTGGGAACCACTTGCCTCCTCCCGTGCCACGAGGCCACCTCCGCCCCGACACCACCCCACGTGCCCCCCAGCCTTCTTCCGCATCCACACAGGCCGGCCGGCTGCCCTTGAACCGTGAGGCCCCGGCTCTCCCCGCCCCTGCCCTGCACCCACCCGCCACCTGAAGCCACCGGCTCCAATTGCCAACAACCTCTGCTCGAAAAACGACAAAACGAAATGGAAAAGGCTACAGCCCTCTGCAAAACTAAGGACTCGGGCCGCTTCGCAGGCAGCCTCTCAGTTCCTCCTGCTCTCCTGCGCGTGTGCTTTTGTTTTTTATTTCAGACAGACGTTCTAAAAGAAAAAAACAACTACCTTCTGTCCTAGAAGATACAGACTGACAGATGGGGAGAAGGCCTCCGGGACCTCGGGGACCTTGCCTCCCCCGCATCCCCGGTCCCCTGGCAGCCGAGAGGCCGCAGTGGGCCTGGGTGTCGGGGGCCCTGCCCGATTAGCGTTATCTGTCGTCCCTTTTAGCAGCAAAACCACCTGCGTGGCGAGGATGATTAATTATGAGGATGACGATTTTCTGTGATAACAGTATTGTGCTCTTTGTGGGGAAAGTGAGGTTTTTTTTTTATATACATATATAATTGATATCTTTTATTTATTGGTTGTTAACCGTTGCTGCTGCCTCACGGGTCCGCAGCTCCCAGGGCTGCGGGGCCACTGTTTACATGTGCACGCCCCGCCTGCCCGCCACGCTCGCTCGGGAGGCTGGTGGCCTGCAGCAGGCCAAGATGCCAAAAAACATTTTTTTTCAGATACTGTGCTTGATGTTTGGAGAGGGGAGAGGTAGGATTTCCTGACTGGCTAATACACTGTTCCCTCCAGCCAGATGTCCCCCCAAGTCCTCTTTCCCTGCTGTCCCCCACCCCCTGCCAACCTTGTTCTCCTCTGGGTCCATAACATTTTTTCCGAGGACAAACAGGGAACATTTTTCAGTTTCTTAACTCTTACTTTGGTGTTTGCCGCAGCATGGAAAACGCCAGGAAGAGGGGATTGGGTACATCAGCCGGGTAGGGAGGGTGGTCTTTGCGAGACGTTGGCAGAAGTAAGGGACGCCTCCACCTCCTTGGGCGGGGTGGGGGTTTGAAAATAGTCCAGGACTCTCCGCTCAGCCTTCCCACCTCCCAGTCTGCTTTTCCGAGTAGAGCACACGGTGTTCTTTCCTGTGCCTCTCTTAGCTCAAAGTTTGGCGGGGAGGGGAGCAGAGTTCCAGGCCATCCCATTGAGATAGTCTCTGCTCCTCGGGCTGTGGCCTGCACACCCTCACAGGAGGCTTCTAGTTCTGCCTGCTGAGGCGGGGGTGGCCCCAGAACCGTCACCAGGAATGTCAGGTGACCCTGGACCAGAGGTCAGGCTCTTGCTCTCTGGGCCTCAGCTGCCCAGTCTGCAGAGCTGGGGGCCTGGGCTGCTTGGTCCCGAAGGCCCTTTCCGTGCTGACGTTGTATAATTCCAGGCCTGGGATTCAGTTTCCTACAGTTCGTGGTTCTGTGGCCTGTGGCTGCGTTTGCCAGACCTCAGCAGACACGGGCACTGTCTGAGTCACAGCACAGCCCCTACTGTGTCTCTTGGCACAAGTCTTCAGGCACACAGCCTTGGTTGCTTCTGCGTGAGGTCTGTCCCAGCAGCCCAGTGTGTCAGGTGGCACACCTTGTACCTCCCAGCTGCAATTGGGGTCCCACCTGGACCCCTGATTTTCCTTTTTGACCCAGAACTAGTCCTCACAGAGGGAAGGTGGGGTGAGGAGCAGCCTCCCAACTGTTTAGGGCCAGGCCTGGGGCTGAGATTCTTGCTGCTTCTTTGCAAAGCCCACATCCTCTCACCCCATCCCGAGGGGCAAGCCTCGCCCTCAGCTCCCCCTGAGTCGTCCTTGCTCTCCACTTTGCGCACCCAGGAGGCCGGAACCCGCCTGCCGCTCAGCCCTCAGCGCGGAGGCCTCCAGGCAGACAAAGCCCTCTGCCGGAGCGGCTTTGCCGCGTCCACGCCCCCTGGCCGGGCACTCGGCCAGCTCCAGCAGTCTCCCTCCTGGCATCGGCAGCCCCTTTGGCTGTGCTCTGGCCCCACTGTCAGCCCCTCAGGTCCTGCAGGGGTGGGGAGCAGGGGTTCTACCTTCACAGGCAACTTGGAAGGGTGGACTCTTTGAGCACCCTGCTGGCCAGCTTCCTGGCCAGGCACTGGCCCAGGGGGGCCTGGGACTCACCACCGATCGCTGCGATTCCTCAGCCGGCTCTGAGCTGGGGTCCCAGGGCAGGGGATGGACTTGGTGACTTGGGGTTGAGAGAATGAGAGTGGGGTCTTTCCTGGGTCAGCTTCCTTCTCTTTGGCCTCTGCCTGAGCCTTGACTTGCCTCTCTGGTCCAGTGGGAATGGTGCCGTTGTGCCTCCTGTCCTGGAGGCATCACGGCAAAGCGATGTGTGGCGGAGGGTTGCCAGGGTTAAGCGTGCAGACCCCTTCAGCCGAGGCGTCCGATTCCTAGACATCCACTGAGCCCTGAGCCTGGCCTTGCTCCTGTCACCTGCCCTTTGGCCTTCTGGTTTGGAGCCACGGTGTGGTTTTTGGCCTTAGCAGTCGGTGTCCTGGGGACCTGTGGGCCCATGCCTCGGGCACACCTGTGTCCCAAGCCCTGAGACAGCCCAGAGCTGCCAGAAGGGCCGCCCTTTTCCTGGCAGGGTTCTGGACACTGGTCATTTTCGCTCAAGATTGCCAGGCAGGGACCGATTTCTGTCTCCCCTTCTCACCACTGAGGTTCTATGGTGGCACCTTCAGAGCCTTAGGCCAGATCCCTCCTGCGCAGCCCTGGGGCCTTTCCCCTCCTTTTTTTTCCACTAAGGCCCTGCCCCGCCGTGTGCTGCCCTCTCTGGGGCGTCCATCCCAGAGGCCAGGCCCTCGGCTCCTCTGCAGAGCCTCACGCCGGGGCGGGGCAGGGGCCAGCCTAGGCGGCCAGTGTGCCACGGCCTGGCCTCTTCCTCAGTGTCTGCGCCTCACTTTGTTTGATGGTGACTTCGGAGAACGTTACAATTTTTCATTATTTAACAGGCAGCGTTTAAAATGACATCAAGGCAAGCATAGGTGTCGCCCTCTGTACATCTCTTCCCCTGAAATGCTTCCCAGTCTGACAGCTGATTTCCTAAAACAATGCACCTTGGCTTTCGGGGACGTTGTCTCTCGTGGGAAGAGGGCTGGGGGAGGTCAGGAAGGCTGGGGACCCCTCTCGGGAGAGAAAGCCCCCACTGCCCACCCGCCAAGCAGAAAGCCAGCCCGTTCCCAGCGCAGTTTCAGCATGTAAGGGGTTCAAGGAGGTATGGGGCGCCCCCTGGTGCTGGCGAGCCTCAAAGGCATCGGGGGGGGGCTCCAGTCCCGCCCAACAGGTGGTCCAGAGGGAGGTGGGCGGCTGGGAGGGCCTGGGCCCCCACATTCTTGGCAGTGTGTTCCCAGACGCCCCCTGCCGGGCCAGCGGAGAGCAGGTGAATGAGCATAAGGGCGCTGTAATGGGAAGCCTTGCCCCCGCAACCGCCCTTTTTTTTTTTTTTTATTATCTGCAGAATAAACCCAATGGTTAATTTTTGAATGAATAAAAGGCTTTTGTTGAATAAACAGCTGGTCCCATCTTCTGTCTTGGCATCTTGGCATCTAGGCTCAGGCTCTGTCTGCTCTCCAGGACTGAGATAAACGCAGAACTCCCCCTGCCCCCTGCTGCACATGGCCCTGTCTGCCCCGTGTCCCTGCAGTGGCTCGTGGCCACAGGGAGGCCCACCTCGCTCTCAGCCTGATTCGGTGGGCAGCTCCTCGGGACTCTGGGCAAATCACTTCTGCTCACTGGGTCTTGGTTTCCCCCTCCCTTCGATGGGAGCGAGAGTCTCTGCTTGGGCGCATCCCGGGGCCCTGGCGCAGCTGGACATGAGTGTAGTGACCCCAGCCTCCTGCAGAGGCAGAAGCCCGTGCCCTAGAGTGGTGGTTTGGATTGTTGGCGCCTCACCTGGAGCCTGTAGCTTTGGAGAGGGATTTGGGTGACTCTTGCAAAAACAAACCAAAAAAGGCACTGTTTTCTGGCGTGGTTGTTTGTTTCCTTCCCTGCTTGCCTTCCCAGTCCTCTGAGCCTCTTTTTGGGGTGCTGTCTTGTCTGACTCTTCTGGTGTGTGTTTCTGGGGAAGGGGTAGGCCCTGGCCGGTGGATGGGGCTGTGTGGCACGCCCAGGCCTTCCTGTGCTCCTGCTGTATGTTGTCCATGTCATGCCGATTAAACACGCTTCCTGGACTTGCCCTCGCCTCCCTTGTGTGGGCCTGTTGCTTTGTCTGTTTCTGTTCTTTTCCATTTCGTTTTAGGTTTCTGCTTCCTCCTGTGACACCCTGTCTCCTGCTTTGGGTGTTGTCTGCCCAGTTTCCCCAAGAGAAGGAATGTGCAAAGTGAGAACCTTGGGAGTAATGATTAAACCAGAAAATCTCAAGGAATGCTTCTGGGAGGCTGAGAATTTGGCAGGCGAGCCTGCCCCAGGTATCAGCCACGGCACCCCCTTTCCCGCCTGCTGCTTCTGTTGGGGGACCTCAAAAGGGCTTCCACTGCTTAAAAAATGTCTGACAACAACTGGCCTCAACCAATAGTTCTCAAAGTCCAGCGAGTGTGAGAATCACCCAGAGGCTTATTAAAGCCTGGGTTGCCTGCCCCGCCCCGCAGGTCTCAGCTGGGGCCTGAGAATTTGCATTTCTAGTAAGTTCCCAGGCGGTGCTGTGTTGCTGGTCTGAGGACTGAACTTCAAGAACCCTGGTGAGACGTGTGCACTGGAGGGTGTCCGGTTGGGTCCTGCCTCCATCGCCTAATCATTCACTCACCCAGATGTGACTTTTGTACCTGTGGTGTGCCAGGCACTGAGGGCCCAGAGATTGGCCGCTGATCACATGGGGGGCTGTGCGTGGGGAGGTGGGAGATGAGCTCTCAGACAGGCATTCTCACGTGGCTGCCCTCCACGTGGTCCCCCTCAGCCTCAAGCCTGG